CTTGCAATTTAAGTTCTTAAAGTCATCAATCAATCCTTTTATTTATGTGATAGGCCTGCGTTTAAAATGAACATTTACCACAAATTAAAGGTATCTTATATTATTAGATATATTATTATAAAACATGCTTTAGTTAAGGAGTTATTGATACTTGAAGTGCAAAATGATGATATAAAATCATGATAAAAATGCATTTTTAAGTATTAATCAACTGACAACCAACAAAATTACCGATGGAATTTATTCTGTCGGTAAAATTCATCGGTAAATTTACCAATTGAAATATTCTCTTGATATTTTCATTTGTACTTATCAATTTTCTAGTAGTGAATACCCATGTTAATAATAATAAAAAAAACTGCACACTTTTTAAAGTTACGTGTAACCCTTTAGACGATGATAAAGCCGGGCCCTAAAAAGATAATATTTTACATGATGTTAGCATTTAACCTCCATAATAATGTCTATTTCTGATTATTAGGATAGAAATATTAAAATTTTAGTGAAATAACATTCAACTAAAGTTTTTGATGAAATAACATAGATTATGTTTGTTGTGATTTTAAAACATGACATATAAAAGTTTATAATTAAGAAATATAACATTAAATAAATATAACATTTTATAATTATGATCTATTTACAAAATATAAAATTAAAAGGAAAAGTTAGAATTTAATTTCATAATATATCATGATTTTAAATTATAAATGGATAATGTATCATGATTTAGAATCGTGATAGGTTAAATTAATTATGCTATTTTACTAATTCTGTTCTGAACTATATTATTTCACTAATGTTTTTAATTTATTGTACTAATTAAAAAAATCAATCAAACACTCCCTAATGATTATCCATAAAGCTAGGCATATAGCAAATGAAGAATTCTTATATGCACAATGTATAATAATCCCAAATTATGCTATTTGTTAAGAGTAGATTGCCTGAATAAACTTTCATTCAATATTCACTGTACTATGTGTGTGTGTGTGTATATATATATATATGGTAAATATTTTTATCTAAAGAATCATAAGCAATTCATTTATTTCAGTCTATGTGAACAATATATCATCTCTTACCAAACCTTGCTTTGCTTTATTCATCTTTTTTTCTTACAGCTTAGCTTTGTTAAGATTTTACAACCACGTTGTTGGGAAGTTTTGTGGATGATTTCAGGTAATTTTTACTTTCAATAGCGGGAGAGCACTTATTAATAAAGAAACTAAAACGAGTATTATTATTTATATGAATAGTGAAATTTTTTTTATTAATAACTTTTTTTTATTAATTTTATATTGCTATATTTTTTTTATTTTTTAATGATTTATTTTAATTTATTTTTTATGAGATTATTATATATTCAAACAAACATATATCTTGATATTTTGACTATGCTTGATTTTAAAAAAATTTATTTTTGTTATTTTTTTATTATCATATAATTAAATTAAATATAAATCACAAATATTTGAGTTCATGATTTGAGCTGCAAGTTTAACAAATTAAATTATAAAGCTTATATTAATTAAATATATTATTATCTCAATATTAAAAAATAAAATGTTATTTTGAATTTTTTTTAAAGTTATATCATGTTTTTTACCGATAGTCTAAATTGTCTTTAAATCTATTAAATCAACTATTTTAAATAAGAGAAAATTCTATATAATTTAATTTTAAATTTCATCTAAATAAAAAGTAAAGTAAGGAGGTTTTAAAATTTACATGGACTAATTTAATAAAAATATGCGGCCTGAATATTTTTCTTACATTCAATTTTGTTTATCACGAGACCATAAACTAGTCTTCTCTGCACAAGGAGGAAGGCTAAAAAGGTTGGGCTTGCAGAAATAGGCCTAACAAGCATTCCATGTCGTCTTTTACTAATAAAGAGGGTCAAGGGATCAATCTTTAATCCTTTTTAATTTTGTTTAGTACTTTTCAGGAGAGTAAGGAAATACTAATGAGGTTAAATGTTAATACTTAACCTTCAAAAGAGGGTTAAATGTCAACCTGGGTGAGGTGGAGAAATTAAAAAATGTTGAGGGAATTTTTTTAAGATTTATGCTTTTTTTTTTATTTATAAAATCACCTACTTGTTTGATTTTCCTTTTCCATTAAGCCCCACGGACATATATTATGTATTATTTAATCATTTTCAATTTAATCGTTGATTAAAATTTATTGTATCACAAATTTATACATGATTTCTACACATCAATAAACTTTCTTGACATTTTACTCTTAAAACATATTTGTATACCCTTGAAACTTAATTTTTAATTTTTAGATTTGACCTAAACACAATCTAAGCCCTCTTGTTTCTCTGGCTGCTTTTCCTGTTTCAAAGTTTTTTTTTTTTTTTTAGTTCCTTCATTGACAATCCGTGGCCTATACTGTATTTAATTTCCCTAACTGAGGTAATCTATTATACTGTACAGTGCTAGTTTGGGGACATACCTCTTTCTTGCAAAGCAAGAAAGATCAATCCTTTCATTTTGGTTCTAGCTAGAGCACGCATTATTATCTGTGTTTTGTGTTTCTGTAAATGATTTTGGATAATCACCACTAAATATATTTAATAACCATGCAAGATATAGTAATTAAATCACACAAGATGACCTTAGACATTGGCAACAAGATATCCCTTAATTAATAATACAACATCAGATTGTCAAGCCGGAGACCCACACGCACATAGATTTGGTGAGCCTGTGCATAAACAAGCTGGTGGTGAATGCAGAAGGATAAACACTCAGACTTATTATATTAGTAATATATAGAGCAGAGAATAGATATTGTAATCACGCCTTTGCCTGGGTCATGTGAGCATTAATATCTTTGGTGAAATCGACTGTTTTGTCCAGAAATGCTGTTGGAGCTGGAATATTTTCATTCAGCTTCTCAAATATCAGTGTCCAATGCACTACGCTGCCGTGACCTTTTGGAGTAGCTTGAACGATGACTTTGAAACTCTTATAAGCCTCCATTAAATCTCCTTCAATCACTTTGAAGGTGGTCGATAGTTCTGTGTTATCTATGTCTTCTATCACCTCCTTGGCGACCATAGGGGCTCCATCTAGTCATAATTCACAATTAAACATGCAAATTAGCTATGAATATTAATATAATGTGTAATCTTCTTAAAAATATATATCTAAAAAAAGTGGGATGATGGGATGCCCTAGCAATTAAGAGCTGAAACTTCTAGTGCATACATGATGTTCTTTGGTTGAAATTCTGGAAACAATAGGATTGAGATTAAAGAATTAGAGAGCTATTCTCTATGTATAGTTTAAGATGCATTGAACCTCCAACTAAATGAATAAAGAGAAGACAAAAAATAGAGTTGATAGGAAACCAGATTTTAGTTTTTTTAAAAAAATAAAAAAACTTGTTAACGAGTTAAATTAAATGAATTAATCGATCGGTTTAGAAATATTGGACTAGATAAATTGGTAGAATACATTTACTTTTCAGATTATAATTTCTTTTGAGTAGTTTAAATTTTTATTTGTTTAGAACTTGATACCTATTAATAAACTTTAATCAGAAGCATAATTAAAATATATGTAAAGAGAAAAACACAAGATAAAACACTTCTTCCTCTCAAATCTTTTTCTTGTTCTTTAGTTTTTCTTATTGTTTTGATGCTCTTAAACGCTTAGCACACCTATTTTCTTTAAAAAAAAATAGTGCATGCAATCTCTCAAGTAAGTATAACAAAATTAGATGACCATTTTCTGATTAATGCTGCAAACTTACCCATACAAAAATTCCAAGAGATTGTGCTGCCAGGTTTCCCCCATTCTCCTTTAAGGAGGTGAACAGCTTGTATCTTAGCAGGACTCATGCAAGATACCTGGGGTAGAGTACTGCTACTGAAAAGCTCATGAAACTTTTCAGCACGAACGTTAGTTTCTACATCAACCTCTATCCTATCACAGAGAGACATTTTCAGCAGCAAATTAATGGGGAAAATTTTAAAGCAGCTATCAAACTAGAGAAGAGATGTATTGGGTGAAGGTTGAGAAAATACTTGAGCCTCATGCCTTTATATAGAAGAGCTAGCTATGAGTTTGCACGAGTCTTTTTTACTATTTTTATTATTGTTATTATTATTTGTAGGAAGGGGATTTAGACTAAATTTGTACACTTAATCTTTCCCTCTCTCCTTTTCCTTATGAGATTCCATTCCTTTTCAATATATAAACTTTTCATGTCCTTACGTTTTTTCAATTGTGAGGAAGCAATTTTTTTATTTCCTAAAAATAACAATACCCTACATATCAAAGTATGTCCAAAGTAACATCCAATGGTTAAATTAGGATAATCCATTAAAAATATTTTGAAAATTAAATAGGAATTTGAGAGGATCTAAACATTGAAAAAAAAGGGACCAAATTCTTCATATATCCACAATCTATAATTAGTCTTTTTCGCTAGACAACAATTATTTTTTCTAAGTATCTTCTTTTCTTAGAACAAAATTTTCTGTTATGTTTTCTCTTGTATTTTTCTCCTATCGGTTTCTTAAAATTTCTCCTTCCGTCATATCTTTCCTGAACACTTGACATTAATTGTTATACACACTTTTTATCCACTTTGTGAAGACATTCATTCCATTTTATCCATAGAATAACCTTTTCAGTCTAAAGCTTCAACAAAAAGAAGAAGAAAAGGAAGTCATTTTGTCTCCTATGAAAAAGATATGGGAAGTAGCTTAACTAATATGGATGTACAAATAATGTTTTGGAATGTGGATATTCTACCTAAAATTTAATAGTTGAAAAAAAAAAAATTTCTATAAACGCATGTTTTTTTTAGATTAACGTGGGTGTCTGAGCCAACTTGCACGCACCATGACTAATTTCACGAGCCCTGAAGTTAACGACAATGTAAGCCTCTAGTGACCATCATATGAGCAACTAAGGACTCGAACTTGAAATCACAAAGGGAGCAAACCTCTTAGTCTCAAATTCTTACCACTTGGCCACCAATTAGCAAGAGAAATGATGTTTGTTTTAAATTGAAGATTGCTTATATTATTGAGAATAATAAAAATAATTTTTAAGATATTAAATTAACTAATTGATCTTAATATTTTTTATACCTAATAATTAAATAATTTAAATATATAGTTAATAAATTTAAATATATAAAATTAAAAATCTTAATTATTTTATTCTAATTATATTAGTTCTCATCTTGTATGGATCCTAATTAAATTATTTAGTAATTTTATTTATCAAAAGAAAATTGTAATGTTTCAATTATTGTGTTCTTTCACTACCAGAAAATCTATGAATACAAACGGAATTACCGACAAATTTTTTTTGTCATTATTTTAGGGTGATAATTATCGACCTGATTTTTTCCATCGATAACTTCTTCAATATTAACCAACAAAAATATTTTGCAGATATATACCGAGGGAATCCTAGTAAAATTAGAAGGAACTACAAAAAAATCAAATAATATGATGATGTGTAAGTTTTTATAGACGATGTTATTGACATAATTATAGTGGGATTCAAACAGGTATGTCCATACAGTGATGTACCACTTATACTAACAGAATTGCCGACGCATTGACAATAGTCACCAACCCTCTACTCGTATTACTGTTGGTTTTGTTTTTGCAGGAAATTGGTTCTCGAATACTGGTGCGAACTAGCACGTTACCCCTAATCTTGCAACTCTAACCGATTCTGTTTCCTATCTTGGTAATGATCACTTGCATCACTACAAGATTTAACAGTTTTATTGATAAAATTTTTCTGTTGGTGTAAGACACATATTCCATCAGTAATTATATTACCGATAGAATCACTGACGGAAATGATCTGTCGGTGAATCATCGCCAGTAATTTTTTATCCGTCGGTAAATTCGTTGGTATATTATTACCGACGGAACAGACGCGTCGGTAATAATATTTTTTATTACCAACAAAATTACCGATAAAAATTCTGTTAGTAAATCCGTCGGTAATTATATAAAAACATTTTAAAAAAATTCATTTTATAAAATTATAAAATAATTAAATTAACATAAATCAACACTCTATAACATATACTCAAAATGCTTGGAAAAATAAGGGGGTATAGAAATGTTGGGTTTTAATTCATTTAAATTTGCTGACAAAATATTTGTTGGCAATTCTATTAAAAACAAATACTAACTTATCAAATTTATGATGAAATTATCGATAGATTTTTATTTTATTTTATATATTCTATAAAAAATTACTAACAAAATATATTTAATTAGTATTTATTTTTTAAATTATAAATGAGATATTTTTCATTGATATTTATTAATTTTTTGATATTCTTTTCTTTTTTAGTAGAGTAGAGAATAAATTGAATGACAAGGACAAGCTTAATTTCTACATGTACCGGGGAGAAGCCGCCACACTGAGTTTTGTTCTTTTCATTGACCAGAATATAGAACAGGGTATCGATACGATTGAAGTACAGAAGCGTGCTTTATAAATTTATTCTTTTATTGTGGTCCAAGAAACTAAGATTTGTTCTTTTAATTGGCCAAAATCAGTATAATTCCTTTATGATTGGAATAGAAATTGAGAGGGGACAATCATCCCAACTTATCTACAGAATAACTTTATCTTTCTCGACCTTAAATAATATTCTCCTCTCAAGCCCCCAACAAAAAGGAGAGAAAAGCAGCATATATCCAAGGATAATGGACAATTAAGTTCTAGTCTACGCTTCAGTTCTTTAAATAATTTAATTGTGATTTTTTTTTTTTAACTTGGACTTGTCTAAATTAATTCACGCAACAAACACTTGAAAAACCGGAGAAACGGATAATTAATTCGAGTATTTTTATTGTATCTTATGGTTTCACTTAAGTTGAGTGTGGAGCAGAGTGACACGTATATCAAATCAATAGCCGACCATGTATTTCTACTATTATTAGTTTTATTTTTTTGTTAATACATATAATATTTATATGCATTATAAAATAAGACTAATTATTCAAATTTTAATTTTTAATTAAGATTTATTTTATATCAAAAAATTTATTTAAATTGTTAATATATAATTATTAATTATCACGATATTACATATATTGCAAAAATAACTAGGTTTACAATGTTACTTTATAATTGAAATTTAATTTTTAATTATGAACATAAGATGATAATGATAATTAATTTTTATTTTATTAAAAATATATAAAACTAGTATTTTAGTGCTTCTTAGTATTATATGCAAAAATCTTCTGTAATTAATGAATTTTGTTTTTCTAAATACATGGCATAAATGAATTTAAGAATACTAAATAATTCTCTATAGTTTTGATTTTTTTTTATGTTAAAAAAATTAAACAATTTTTTTTTAAAATAAAATAAAAAACTAATAACTCACTAAACAAATACATAAAAAAATTCTTTCTTATTACATGACATGGAAGATCCTATGACATATATAGCTACATTATGGCTTCAAAGATGCTTTCTAGAGGCAATTGATGATGAAATAAATTTCATTTATCAAATAATATAAGGTTTAAAACCAATTGATGTCGCCTTTTTCAAGCCTTTTTTAAAATCAAAAAATAAAAAAAAATGGACAAAGGGACCAAAATGCAAAGGAAGAAAATGAGGGACCAAAATGTTTTTTGACCATGCAATTAGGAAAGAAGACAAAATTTTCCACTTATAATAAATTTCCAACAATTAGGTGGTAATCTTTAGGGGGGCATTAAGAAAAAAATAATAAATAAAGAAAAGCCAGATAGTTTCTCCTTATACCAAAAAAAAAAAAATAATAGATCTATTATTTCTAAGTCAATTGTCAGCCCCAAATTAAACCCAAAACAAAAACAGACCCTAATATACCAACCCATCTTCAATCTCACAATCCTAGCAACCCCTTCACATGGCAATCATCTATCTCTACCAATAATAGCCTTCTTTGTCACTACCAGTCTTGAAACAACCCCAAAATCATCACTAACCAGCTTCCTTCTTTCTTCATGTGACTGTCATCACCATTACCCAAAGCACCAACAAAAGTGGTTTTATCTACTCCAACAACCTAGTTGTTGGCAACAACCCAACACAAAACTTGATAAGGTAGAGACAATTAAATAAATTAATATCAATAAGCTTTGGGAATTAGTTATATCTAGGAAATAATTATGATGCTAATTTAGGCCCTAAAATAGGGATTTAACCCTATAAAGTATAGACTTCCCCATGAAGGGATATCTATCTTAAACCTTAAATGATACCTATAAATAGAAACATGTCTTAAATTAATAATCAATCAACAATGCAGGTTAAGGTAGGGTGCACTAGGAGTGATGCGTCTTTCTCTTACAAAACTAGTCCCCTTACCCAAACTCTTGCAAACCATTAAATTTTCTAGTAACCATAATACTAGGTGGCGACTCTTGAATCCTCTAATCATAACTTTATGATTAAACAAAAAAACACCCTTTAATTCTAAGAGGCAACTCTTTCATTTGATGTTATGCACATCACAGTAGGATGGTGACACCACTAGGGACTTATCTTGTCGGACTGAGCTTTGTTTGTTTGATTGTTTGCTTATTTATTTTTGTTGGTCTGTTTAATTTAATTTTAAAATGCATTATTTTTACGTACTACTTTAGTATTCATTGTTTTTTACATATTGTTTATGCATGAGTGCATCAGGTATGGATTAATACCTTCATACATTTTAATTTTGCAAATAAACCTAATTATAAGTTAAGTGAGGAGTAACGGTCAACCACATAACTTTCAGTTGGGGTTCAGATTCATGAAACATTCAATTATTAGCTGAGCATTTACTTGGTAATGATGGTTATATTGTGCCCTAATAATTTCTTGTAAACCCTTATACTACCTTCATGAAAGGTAGCCACTTGATAGATCATAAACTCTTTTGAGATCAAGTTAAAAGCTTACCTTTCATGTAATGGCTTAGAATTTGTCCTTAAGATATGGGTTCCTTAATATTTTATTTTGCATCAAAGTAAACCAGGTCAATAATCTTGAAATCCGTAGGATTTTCTGGGTGAAGACCATGACTTTTTCAAAAAATAGGTAAGAATCTAAGATAATGTAATTAGCTAGGGGAATTGCCCAATGACCAAAGCCAAAAAATTACTACATATAAAAACCATTGTCTTTTTTAAATGAAAGGGGATTAAACCCACCTTTTGTTTTGTAATATCTAATGTGTACGAGATTTAATCAAGATGAGAATTTAGGCAAGATCTTTTCATATTAATCAAACTATGGATCTCGTTTGTACTCCATAAAAAAGTCATGGATTAGCCCTTTAAACAGGTTAATCTATATTCAATATACGTGTACATGCACTTTCATCCATTAACATACATGTATTCATACTTTAAGGTTTAAATGTCATATGAGCATATGATAAGTTGGAATACAAATCCCTGAAAAGCTCAAATCCATAAAGTTTATAACACTTAACTCGAATAAAGAAATATAAAAGATGAAGAATATGTTCATCGTGATGCCTACTTTCAAGAAGAGCTAGATTCCCTGAAGGTTAACATGCCAGTATCACTAACTTGTTAAACGACCCACATCATTACCTTGTTTGAGCAGATACTCAAAGACCTCTCTAGTAAAGGCTCATCCAATCAGCCAATGACTTTTATAACAATTTAGCCTAAAGAAAGGATAGGTGGACAAACTAAGAACCTTAGTGTAATACAGTAGTTGTGTAATAAACAATACTTATATCGACCTTAACAGTTGTGGATCTATTTGTCAATGAGTCACACAAGAAAAAATCCTCCGAGGACATTAGTAGTGATAAAATAACAGTTTTGGAAGCTAGAATAAGGGTTATTGAAAGAGTGGACTTGTATGATCTTGTTCAAGTTGTTGAGATGTGTCTAGTTTCAAATATGGTTGTACCAAAAACATTTCATGTGCTTAAGTTCATAGAGTACATTGGAACTTAGTTTCTTGTCACTCACCTTAAATTTTATTACAACAAGATCGCAAAGTAATACACGATAAACAATTATTGATGTAGTTCTTTCTTGGCAATTTGAGTAGGACAACATTAGGTTGGTACACAAGGCTAGACAATATGAAAATCTAAAAGTGAAAAGACCTCGTAAATGCTTTCATTTAGTATAAATATGACATGGACATCTTTCTAAACAAATCTACCCTACAAGGTATGAAAATGGGTGATAGGGAATTTATTCGAGAATATGCCTAGAGGTGGTTTAGTGTAGCTACTTTGAGTTTCTGATTGGAAGTGCAAGCCCATGCTTTACTAACCTAGTAGTTATGGACAAAAGAATTGAACAAGCTATCAAAGTAGGAACTGTGAACTTTGAAGTAACGATAGAATCCGAGTTAGGGAATGGCTCTCAAATTAGGAATCTTAGTCCATTGGATCTCATTGTGTTATTAACTACTACTCACACACCATCATCAAAGATTGACATACCTTTACCATTCAAAGATATTTATCAGCATCTCTTGAACATTGGACATATTACCTCGATTCCAACATATCCTATAAAACCATCATTTATTAGGTAGTACAATCCAAATGAGAAATGTGAATATCGTAATGATATTCTTGACCATTCAATCAAAAATTGCAAAACAACCCAAAAATATATAAAAGAAAAATTTAGAGCTAAAAAAATTACAAATTTTTAAAAATACAGTTGAATAGCAATGTTAAACACCACTTTAGGTGTCAATCTATTCCACAAACTTCTATACTCTTCTTGTATTTTTCAAAAGTCTCTAGTATTCTCTAAAAATTTTGTTTTTTATTTTAGACAAAAATATTTTTCCTCTTTTTTGTTATTGAAATTTAAATACATTTGATTGATTGATAATGATGACGATTATTATTTTTACTCTTTTGTAATCCTATGATGATTGATTGATGATTAATTGATTGATGATGAAGATGATTATTATTATCATCAAAAATTATAAAATGCCTAAAACTTGGCCAAAATGTGAAAAAAAAATGAAGATTTGTTTTTTCAAAAATATTGGGATAAAAAATTGAACTCTTATGTTTAGGGAATTCAGCAAGGTGATAAAAAAAAAATCTACAACTTATGCTTATGTTAGGAAATTAAGCTCGGAAAGAGTGATAAAAATTGTCTATATATGTTAAATCAATAAACAGTTAAGCTGAACCGTATTGTAAAAGCATTCTTGAAAGATTTCACTAAAAGCATTGCTAAAAGAATGTGCATTAAGTTCTTTATTAATTAAAAAACTTCAATCAAATATGATAAATTAACAAATTGAACTCAATGGTTAGATTGTGATGCTAAAAGATTTTAGAATCGAAGTGAGAATAATTTAAAAACTTAAGGATTAAAATGAAAAGAATGGAAGTTTGAAAATGTATCTTTTAAATTCATGTTTTAAAACATATGGCAGAGACTGCAGTCAAACAAATTTGAATGAACATCTAGTTGAGGTTGTAAACGTATGTTCAGTTTTGGAGTTGATTTATTAATTTATTTTCTTTCATTCAAAAGTGTTGAAGATTTCATTATATTTTATGGATAAATAATGGTAAAATGTTAATTATTGGCTACTGAACACTATAAATACTATTCTTTGTATTGCTATTTAAGACTTTTGGGATCTTGATATTAGTCTTGTAAGGGGGAGTTTAGAGTAGGGTAACAGTTTTTTTTAAAGTGCTTTATATTTAAAAATATATTAAAATAATATTTTTTTATTTTAAAAAAAATTATGTTTTGGCATCAGTACATTAAAACGATTTAAAAACACCAAAAGAAATTAATTTGAAGTAAATAAAAAAATCAATTTTTTTTAAAAAACACTTTTAAAATACAAAAACAAATTTAATCCAAAATTATTGGTATGTTACAAAGGCATCAACAATCATCAACTCCCAAGCACAATATGGTGGTAAATTTGAAAAACAAAATTGTAATATGTTGTTAAACTTTGATTTTTATTTTCATAATAAATTAAGTTAAATTTGAGTTTTTTATTTCATGAGATTTTCAATGAGATTACGTGATAGAAACATATATAAAAGAATGATTTTATTTTTTGAGAAGTGTGTTTGGTATTGTAGTAGTTTTTATGGTTGTGATTTGAAAAAAATTATTTTATAAAAAGTACTTTTAATTGAGGTTAGTTTGGTATTTAAAAAATAAAAAATAAAATAATTTTTTTTTTACTGGATCAACCCAGTTCAATGCATTTAACTTTAGATCGGACTCGATCCGACTAAAATAGTAGAAACATGCACACTATTCACATTAATAGTAGAAATTGATAGGGCTCATGAATAGTAAATTGAGTTTTATTAATTACCAAACATTTATTTTTCATTATTGATTTCAAAAGCAGAAGGAACTATAGAAACAAACGGTCTCTAAAAGCAATTAGATTCGAGAGAACAGATGGAATAATAGACATAAAATTACTCTCCTATTTTTTTAATTAAAAAATTTACTAATATGTACAATTTCAAACTCAAAATACAATTACTTGAAAAAACATCTTAAAATATAAAATCATCCCCGTAGTATCTAACTCCATCTGAAGGCTTAGAATATAGATCAACTAATATTTTTTTTTGTTTTACTAAGAAAAACAAACTTCATTTCTCTAATTATAGGCTTAAACTTTTCAATTGTTCCAAGTACAATTAACAACATGAGCCGATAGAAAGCTACCATTGCAAATAACATGGCAAGATCCATCCACTTCGAGTAACGCATTTCCACCTGCCATATAATTCTCAAAATTTCTTCACCTTTGATGTAAGCAGGCCCTCCTCCTTGCAGTTCTTGACCATTAGGAAATGCCAGTCCTTCAAACTCGTTTTTAAAGAGCCCCTGGTACGCATATCTATGGAAAGCAATGTAGTATAACGGATATCTCCAGAAAACTAAGGGAAGATCATGCGGCAGCCGAAAGAAACCGCCACTTAGTATCATTAACCCTTGGATCCCTGCTCCTGTTATTAGACCCATCAGGAAATTTGGCATGATGCTTGCAACAATCAGCATTAGGCTTTCCACCAGCATCATACAAGCAAGGAGTGTCAAGGAAAAGTAGATGAACTGTGCGAAACCTTGTTGGAGGCCAACAAGGTAGTAAGTTATTGCTCCGGGAATCAAAGATATTACAAGCAAGAAGGGTGTTGAAGAAACTGTGTTGCTGACAACAAATGCAGCCGACCGATAATGTCCGTTTAATCTTTCCCGTTGAAAAACCTGGCTTGAAATGGAAATAATTACTTGCTAAATGCTACTACTTCCAGGGACAGAATACTTGATATGTTGTTATGAACTAACCTTCATATCCTCCACAAATGAAGGGAAACCCCCAATAGCCATAATTGTCAAGAAGGAAGCAGTGAACATAAGCAGTGAACCTCTTGCCTATGAATCATAACAATCATGACTTAATTTTTTTTCACAGGCAATAATTTCTCACACTAAAACAAACAATGACATTATACTTGCCTGTATCGAGCTGTAACCAGAGCCTATGTCATAGAAAACGGATCCTAAGCCTGAACATAACGCAATATAAATGGCCAGACGGAGCCAGTAGTAGCCTAGATCTCGATACATGTTCACAAAAGACCTTCTTGTGAGAATAAGGCACTGGGAAATGAAGTTAGCCTGGCCGCCCTTCTTTAGTTCTTCTCTGTCCTAAAATGCATATAGAGATCCAGACTAATACATTAACAAGCATAAAACTTTAGCCTGCTGAAAATATTATGTTTTCATTGCTACTTAATGTGCCCATAGCCCTACTCACCAAGCTACATATTTCTGCTACATGTCTTTGGATTTGCTGGCAAGTATGTGATGATTTATAAGATCTTACAAGAAAATTGATTGCTTCCTCGGTGGTTTTCTTTGCATGGAAACCTTGATCCATGTCCTAACAACAAATGATATATATTCAGAATATAAAAAGAAAACAGCAGTATCTCCAAGCAAGATTTGTCACGATTCACTGTGCAAACCTCATCAAAGTCTGTGTTGATTGTGTGTAGGTAATGATCAGATGGGTTTTGGTGACTCGGGCAAGGGAAACCGTTCAATTTAAAAAACTACAATCGAAAATAAAATAAGTCATGAGCTATTTACAGCTTTAAGAGCTGAAATAATTTTCCTAAAATAATTTGATGGCAAACGGAATATTGAAATAAATGTACCTTATTAGCTCTATCAGAGCGACCAAAGTATATTGTTCTTCCTGAAGAAAGAAGGCATAGATTGTGAAAGAGCTGAAAGACTTGACTGCTAGGTTGATGAATGGATGCAATAATTGTCATTCTGTCCTGCTTGGCAAGATCTACCATTCGTTTCATGACATAATATGATGCAGCACTGTCAAGTCCACTTGTTGGCTCGTCGAGGAAAAGAAGCTTCGGCCGAGTTAAAATCTCTATGCAAATGCTCACTCTCCTCTTCTGCCCACTACTTAGGCCTTTGTTGCTCCATCCTCCTATTCTTGTGTCCATTGAGTCTTGTAACCCCATCTCTTTTATTGTCGTCTCTGCTCGCTCTTTTTTCTTGCTTAATGACATTGAATTGGGTAGTTGGAGTTGAGCTGAGTAGAAGACAGCTTCTCTTACAGTTAGTGTCCATGTTATAACATCGTCTTGCGTCACATAGGCCTAAATTGGCATGACATAAATGGATCGTACATTAGTGAGACCAAAGCAAATTTTGCTTGTGATCAGAAGGGATCGAGCATGAAGCAAAGTTTAAGTGAACACAAGGGCATATACAAATTGAATGCCTAGCTAGAAAAGAAGCAAGAAGAGATTAATTCAAGTAAAATGTATATCAAGCTCAGACTACTGTGCATGTAGCATTAGGATCAATTTCTAATATCAGTGATCAGAACTCTGCAACAATTTAAAGTTCAAAGGCTAGTATTCATACCGAAGTCCCATATGCCAATGGCTGTTTTCGACCATTGATTAGAACTTCTCCAGTATGCTTTGTGCTGGAATCTAATCTCCCTGGGAAGAGTGCTGAATTATATCAGAGTTATGCTTACAGCACATTGAAGAGTGAAAATTCATCAGTAAGATAAATTCTTAATGCTGTCTACAGGATCTCTATGTTCTTTTTTCTTTTTCTTTTTTGCTCTGAACTGTGGATCAAGTACAATCAATCTCTCAACAATTACACAATGCTTTCTTGAACCTAAAACAAATATAAGAAGTGAAAAAAATATATTCTTAATGCTTGGTATAATAACTTAATGGATTCAATACGAACACACGCAATGGAATTGGTAGTGACTTAATGCAATTTTTTTAATTATTTATTTTATGTATGTGTTCATGCTGCTTTGGTTTAAAAATCTTCGTTATGCATATCCCCTTACTCAAATAATTTTATCTTTCCATTTCCAAAACAGGGTTTTAGTGACAATATTGCAATGGTCAAATCTTAAGTTGATTTTGGCGACACCGATTGGTCGCTAAAATCTTTTAGCGATGACTTCATCTTCATGCATACAATTCAGGATTAAGTAACAGCACTTTGTGTGGGACATATTCCTGACAAGATTGATGTCAGCAAATGTTTTTACATAAGATTGTTTTCATAAGGTAGCGATGATTTAATTTAAATTTTTTTAAACAAAAAAAAAAAGCAAAGGGATTAATTGTAGAGGAAAATAACTTCAAAATGATCACCGTCCAAAATCTATATTTTCTATCCCATCCAGCCCCTTCTGCTCCAATCCAACCCACCATAGCATTTTCTTAGAATGTGTTGGAACTAGGGCCATTGGGCCTTGGATTTAAAAAATTTAGAAGTTCAATGACTTGGTTAATTTGCTTTGAATCAGTTTGTCATAAAATAAAATATATTAAAATAATATTTTTTTTATTTTTAAAAGTTTATTGTTTATATAAATACATCAAAATAATAAAAAAATTATTTGAAATGAAAAAATTATTTTTAAAAAAATATACAAATAAACGATGCCTTCAATCAATAATCATCCCTATAAAAGGGATCAAATTCACTTTGTAAAAATATAAGAAATAATTTAAATATTTTTAAAAGATGGGTAGAGATTTTTTAAAAAACAAATGGTGTATTGATGACTAAGATAGTGAAAGAGTGGTAGGGAGCTGATGGTGAACAATACATAGATGGAGTTTTTTTAAAAAAAAAAAATTCAATCCCAAAATAAATAAATAAAGTTATTTGGTTCTTTCTTAATTGATTGTAGCAATCAAGTTCGAAACATAATCAATAACCACAAACACAAGGATTAAGAAGGTGATTTTTCTAACATATGAAAACAAAAATGCCCTTGATGTTTATAATGTGTGGCAGTGTCTTTAGGTGAATCTAGCTGGCTTAGTATGCAGCTCTGCTCCAAAAGGAATAGTTGATTGCCAAGACCTCCCCAGGCCGAGCATAGCCGGTGAGTCCTTGAAGAATGGATCTGCACCCATGTTTCCTATCTGAAACTGTCACCCCAAGGTTCTCCCATGTTATTGAAACATCCTTCCGGTGGACATCCCGACAGCTTCCAAAGGCTGGGCCATTTTCCAAGTCTACTGCCTCCATAGATTCGTCATTTGGAGACAATGCACTGTGGTCTGTATCGTAGTTGGAGCTAGGTGATGAAGAAGCCATGCAAGTCTTGCTGTCAGCTGGCAACTCAATCATGCTGTGTGGAAAGGGATTATGCATTGTGATTTAAGGATGTTCTAAGCTTAAAGGAATTGGCGTGTGGAATCTATGTACAAGGCACGTAAAGACAACTAAGAGCCCTCGTAAACAGAGGAAATGAAGGCCACTTGTGACTTTAGGGAGATTTTTACTCTGTCTTTTTGTCGAGGGATAACTCCATTTTTGTTAAGAGTTAAGATATGAGCTGAATAAGAACAAAATCATGTGACATTTGACCGTAAATTCGTTACTAGGATCAAAATTGATGATACTTATCCCACATGGTCTAAGGATTGAGAATTGAGCTTCTGACCTTCAAGTGTTACTTTTTTAAGATATCTTTTTCACAACAGAGGTTCAAGATATAATTCTTTTGAGTTGTCACCTACATAATGTTTGAGGTATCATTATCAATAATGTGTTGAGAAAAGGCATTGATATAACCTAATTAAAGTGTCGATTCTTTTCTTCAAATTAAATGAGCACATAATATAAATTTTAGCACATAAAATCCCAGTGGAATTATAGTCCTCTCAAATTTTTTTACTAATAGGATCACAAAGTTCTTTTCTAACTCAGTTAAAAGATATACACACACATACACTAAATCCACAAATCCATCTTTATAAGAATGGATTTCATCAAAAATAAATAAAAAAAAGACTAGATCTCATCAATTAGATCTTTATAAATACCTAAAAATCAACAATTAACATTGTCTAAGTTGAAGAGCTCATCGTTAAGAATATTATATCAAAAGCTCATTAAATTAAGTAACAAATCACTATCAGATAATCAAGACAGAAAGATGAACAACATATTTTTTCTTCACTCTATCTCACTTTGTGGCCAAAGCTCTCCTTTTCTTTTTTTTCTTTTACGTAAATTAGCTCATAATAAAAATAAGCTACCTAGTTATTTATACGACCTAAAACCTATTTTTCTTAGTTTATATAGGTTATGGCACAAAAAAGAATGGGCCAAGACCTAATAATTCTCCCCCTTCTAAATCATTTAAACGGCTTCACTAAATTTATTTGTCTTCTACAAAACTCAAACTTTTCTCAGTAAAGACATATTCATTATATCTGATACATTGTTTCTATATAGATCTTCATCTTTATAATATCTTGAATCTATTAGTATCTTACATTAATATGCTTTGATTTTAATGAAAAGTAAGATGTTTAATTACATGAATTGCACTCTAATTATCTTAGTGCAATATAAAGCTCTCATGCACTAAGTCAAGTTCATGTAAGAGCTTTTTCATTTACAACACCTTCAATAAACCAAGACCTAATAATTCTCCCCCTTCTAAATAAACGGCTTCACTAAATTTGTTTGTCTTCTACAAAACTCAAACTTTTCTCAATAAAAACATGTTCATTATATCTGATACATTGTTTCTATATAGATCTTCATCTTTATAATATCTTGAATCTATTAGTATCTTACATTAATATGCTTTGATTTTAATGAAAAGTAAGATGTTTAATTACATGAATTGCACTCTAATTATCTTAGTGCAATATAAAGCTCTCATGCACTAAATCAAGTTCATGTAAGAGCTTTTTTATTTACAACACCTTCAATAAGAGCAATGTATTTAGCCTCTACCATGAAACTGCTTTTTCTACAAAAGTCATGAAACTACTCCCTCTACAAAAGTCATTAAGCATCTCGACGTGGACTTTCTATCATTAGCATCACTAGTCAAATCTATATTTATATATACATTTAGTATATGTTCACCATTACCAAAATATGAGCTTAAAGTGAAAGTATCTTTGAAATATTCAAGTATTTATTTCATTGTTGACCAATGTTTTTTACTAGGATTAAAGAGGAGCTTATTAACCACACCAACAACATGAGCTAAATCTAGTATCATGCAAGCCATGACATACATCGCGTTACCAATTACATATGCATAAAAGAACCTTATTGATCTCCTTTATTTTTTTCATCACTTGTAAGACAATATTTAGAACTTAGCTTAAAGTGACTTGCAAATGAATAATAAATAGGTTTGGACTTGCTCATGTTAGATCTTGTAAGTACTTTTTTTTTACATATATATCCTAAGATTGCCAAAGTTACCCATTTTTCATCTCATAGGTAATCTTCAAGCCAATGATATATTTTTTCGATCCTAAGTTTTCATTGTAAAAGACTTATTTACCTCTCTCTTTAAATTTTGAATCTTCTTAGTATAATGACCAACAATCAATATATCATCCACATATAATAAAAAAAAAATAAAGACGCCATCAGGATACCTTTTTATAAATATATAATGATCAGAAGCAGTCCTACCATAACCATGATCTACCATGAAAGAATCAAATGTATTGTACTATTTTTTTTATAGCTTGTTTCAACCAATACAAATTATTTTGCATTATAACTCTTACTCGTAAATAACTAACACATACTCGTAAGAAGAATATTTTGCAGAAACTTGATAAGTTATAGTTATTGTTTTATAGCCATGACATGCTCTGTTGTAACCCATTTTTGGGTCCCTGCGCAAAAAAAAAATATAGAAAAATAAAAAATATTAATAAAATAAAATAAAATAAAATAACTAATTTAAAAATAATAACAATAAAAAAAGGGAATGTCAGAATGCTTAGAAAATGGTCAAAAATTGGTTTATAATTTGTACAATTAACCTCCCTGTGGTTCGACCCCGGTCTTATCGGGTTATTTATTACTTCGACACTCCTGCACTTGGGAGAAGACATCAATCTTTTAGTCGTGTCATTGCACAGGAACCAGTCATTTGTTTTTTGGGCTGGAACATCAACCCAACCCACGTGGCTGGGCTGAGTCCAGCCTTGTATTGGCCCAGCTCACATAATCGGGCCGGGTCTGGCCTAGTTCCAAAAATTTTAAAAAAAAATATTTTCAAAAATTTATGATTTCCCCATGTCAAAAGTTTGCTTAATATTGGTTTGTATTTTTATATCGTAAAGATACTAATCCGTATTAAAAATACCTGATTTTTGTCAAAACTTTGAAGAAATCTGAAACCAAGGACCAAATTATAAAACATGTGCAAATTGAAGGCTTGATTTTGAATCTGACGTGTTTTGGCGCCAATTCTCTTTTAAATGAAATAGCACGTTTTGGAAAAAAACGACGCTGTTTCATGCACTGTTTAAAAAAAAACGGGAAAACTCAAAACGGTGCCGTTTTTTTTAG